CTAGCGGGCGGGTCGGGCGGGTCGGGTCGGGTCGGGCGGACCCTAACGGTCGGGTCGGGCGGGCGGGACATTAAAGTGTGGGGCGCGCTCGACCGAGCACGCGCGAACCCTGACGGGCTGGTCGAATCGGGTCGGGCGGACCCAAGCGGGCGGGTCGGGTCGGGTCGGGCGGGCGGACCCCAACGGGCGGGTCGGGTCGGGCGGGCGGGACATTAAAATGTGGGGCATGCTCGACCGAGCACGCGCGAACCCTAACGGGAGGGTCGGGTCGGGCGGGCGGACCCTAGCGGGCGCATCGGGTCGGGCAGTTTCGCCGACGGCAGCTGGTTTCGCCGACGGCAGCTGGTTTCGCCGACAGCAGCTGGTTTCGCCGACGGAGCTGGTTTCGCCGACGGAGCTGGTTTCACCGGACGGCGAAACCAGCCGGGCGAAACCAGCGGTCGCCATATGGGCGAGGCCTCCGGTGGCAACTCAAGAGACCGTCGTCAGTGTATGTTTAGGTCGTTGTCGTGGGCGTCTTTTATTCGGCGTTTCGACATTGGGCGGCAAGAGGGGGGAAGGGGGCATCTGGCTCTGGACCTCTGCTCAGTGCGACTGTTTGCAAGAGTGCGGCGCCTCTGGGGGAGACTCCACCCGCCCGACGCAGGCGCCACAAAACGGCCAAGATCTACTCCATGGGGAGGGGTGGGGAAGGGGGGGGGGCTGGGGGGTCCGCGCCCATCGGCAAAACCATGAATCAAAAAACGATCACGTTTCTCCTTCGACGCACCCGCTTCTGAAGGGGCCCTGAGACACACAAATAGATACACACAAATAAAAGGATCCGCCATATGTTCCCATATTTTCTGGGTTTTTGTCTTCCCCCCCACTTCCCATATTTTCCCATATTTTCTGGGAATCGACGAACAATTGTGTCTGTGTGGTTTTTCCCCTCCTGAGCTTCGATTGTCCCGACTCTCGGCGGCGCCGGTGCCGGGCCATGCGGTGCTCGCCCACGGGCCGCCGGCCGTGGCGGCTTCGGCGGCAACTCGTGGGAGCCACCCGTACCAACATGTCGGCTCCTGCGAATCGACGCTCGTCGACGCTGAGTCGACGCTGAGTCGACGCCAGGCGACGCGAGATAGGCGCTATTGCATCGACTCCCAGACGCTAGTCGACGCTGAAGACGGGATTGAGGGGGGATGCCAGGCTCCCATGATTCGTTATCGAGGAAGCCCACTTCGCGCTGCCGATTCTGGGACGAGAAGGATGTCATGATGAGATTGGGAGCTCCCGAACCTTCCACGACGTCCGTCTCTGCAGTCTGAGCGGAACAGGACAATTCGGAAATCCTGGAAGGCATCACTGTCAGGATTTCATGCTCCTCTAACATTCCCCCGCACCTGGTACACCGCAAAGCATGTAAGTTGTGGACCCGGATCGCGCGCGCGCGTGCTCGCGATTTTGGCTGGGACCGCTGCTTCCGATCCAACAGCCGATTCGGCGTCAACGCGGTTGCCAGAGGCGTCATGGAGACTGCAGCAAAGAACTGCATACACACAAACGTTCGGAGCCCCGGGCGCGCTTCTCGGACTGGCGCTGGACCTCCGTCCTTGGCGCGCGGAGCGCGCCATGAGGAGGCGCCGCCAGGAGGGTGCCAGCGCCAATCAAAGCATCCCGCGCGGAGCGCCGAAAACTTATGTTTACGCCGCTCTTTGCTCTTCGGATGAAATCGCCCAACTAATTGCCCCTCGACAGACTTACTGTACGCCTGCGTACGAGACGCCGGCGATCTGCACGCAGGATGAGCCAATGCGCCGGCAACCCACCTCAGCGCGCGTGCGTCGTGCAATGGAAAAGAAGAGACTCTCTTCTCCAGATTCGTGTGTACCGTTGGTAAGGCTTCGGAGTTGCGCGCAGACAACCCCTTATGTAATCCCAGCTGGCATCATCATTTCCAGCTGGCCTCAGCAGGCCAATCGAATAATTAGTCCTTGGCGGTCTCAACACCAAACCCTGGTGCGCGGAAAGCCCCAAGGGCGCCGCTGGAGGCAGCGCCAGGCTCCTGAGAGGACTACTCGGTGGGCCCCTGAACGCCAGCCGGGACAATATGTGAGCGAAGAACAGAAGCGGGTTGACGCAGGATGGCATAGCAGCCACACGCTGCGGCTTACACGAACCGCCAAAGTGGCACACCGGGCGGAGAGCAGGGCACTTACACGCGACCTGACACGGGAAGGCTACGCGCGACTGCCCACGCCGTTGACCCCGCTCTCGCCGCCGGCCACACATTGGGGGGGGGCCTGCGCGTGCGCAATCCGAAGTCTTACCACTCAACGCGCGGCAGCCAGCGCGAGGCCCAGGCCGGAGCACCGACCTTCTGCGTCCTCCTCCTTCCTGCTCGTCGTCCCTCATCCCTCCTCCTCCCCGGCAAGTGTCCCAATCCCTGGCGGCCTCCTCTCCGTTCCTCTCCCTCTCCCTCTCTCTCCTCGTCCGCATCCTCCTCGTCCGCGTCCTCTTCTTCCTCCTCGTCCCCGTCCTCCTTCCTCCTCCCCCTCCGGCTCCTCCGCCTCCTCCACGTCTTTCCTCTCCTCCTCGCCCTCCTCCTCCTCCTCCTCCTCCTCCTCCTCCTCCTCCTCCTCCTCCGCGTCTTCCTCCTCCTCCTCCTCCGCGTCGTCCTCCGAGGCCAAGACTCCTAGCGCCTCGCCGCGGCGCCCGCCCTGGGGCGCGACTCACCAGTCCGCGGGGGTGGGGCCCGCGCACGCCGCCGACGTGATCGCGGTGGTCACTTTGCGGGACAGGGCTCGGCGCAGAGGCACGCCTCCTGGGCGCCGCGCGCACGAGTGGAGGGCAGAACATCCCCCCCCGTATGAATCCCCCCGACGAGCGAAGCCGTTCAGCTAACGCGCCCAAGGAAGGAATCGAACACGGCAGGGCTTGTTCGGAAACGCCCAGGGCCGTTGAGTGCGCGTCGATTGTCGGGTCGGGGTGGGTGGCGGCAGCCGAACCCCACCCCGACTCGGTGCCCCCTCAGGACTCCACCAAGAGACCAAAACCGTCCAAAAACCGACGGAAAAAGTCATTGACGTTTGCCTTCTCGCCTTGATGCTTCCGATGGGCATTCTAGGCCTCAGAGTGGCCCAAAGATGACCCAAGAGTGGCCCCAGACGGTCCCAAGAGCGACCGAGAGCGACCCAAGAGCGCCCCAAGAAGGCCCCAAGAAGAGACTTTGATGGCCCCCAGGGGGGGCCTTGGCCGGCGGGATTCGGATTCGGATTTCGCCACGTGTTCGACGGACCCCGAAACCAGCATGATTAACCCAAAAAGGACCCCTAACCTTTTGGAGGGGGCCTAAGTCAGGAGGGCCAAAAGCATTAGGGATAGGGGCTCTTTTCCGAACGTGTATCGAACCAAGCCAGCCATATCTACGATCCCTTATGCAAAGACGGGGACCTAAGTGAGGCCACGTCTTTGCTATTGTATTAGGCTTAGGGGTTCTCCGAATTATTCTCGATGACTGCACCCGCAGCCCATCGAATCGCCAGAATCGAATACTGGCGAAGGTAAGATGCGGATATCGCCACCGAGGTTGAGCAGGGATCGACCGTCCCGGCGTTCCTATAGGCCTACCACCCAATGCCCGCAGAACCCCAAAATGTTCCAAGGACAAGAGCACTGCTCCTGGAACGTGTACACCCGATGTGCTAAAACAAAACGGTCCCAGCCAGAAAGGTTCCGAGAACCTCTCTCGGGTCGGGCGAAAGGGGGGGATAGCAAAGGGGGGGTTTGAGAATCAGCTCACGTAGCTGATTTCCCCGGCGCCTCCCGGCGCCGGAAGACAACCAGCTGCATGCAGCAGATTTCGTACCCCCCCCTTTCCCAATCCCCCCCTTTCGTCCGGCCCGACTCTCGCGCAGACCTCGAGCGACCACGAAAAAACACATCCCCAATCCCAAAATCGCGGATTCACCGAGGATTCGAAGATCGGCCAAAGATTTCGGGGTATGTTTTGCGTTCGTCGTCGTCGCCCTGGTAGAACCCTACCCCAAAATCTCCCTCCCCGAAGTCTCGAGGAGCCTGCATTTTGCCTTGGCCCTCGCGTTTTTGGGATTGGGCACCTGTTTTGACTTAGTGATCGAGAGAGGTCCTCGGAGCACTCTCCTGGCGGGCCTGCCGGCACGCCTGGGACGCTCCGCCCCTGCTCGGAGGACGTCGCCCCCCGCGGGGGGGAGGAGCTCGCGCGAGGGGCGCGGCCCTCTGAGGACCGCGGGGGGGATTGCTCCCGGGGGCCCTCCTGTCTGGGCGCCCGACATGGGCACGGAAGGGGTGGGCACGGTGCCCAACAACAGATGTTGTCCCGAGCGGAGTGAGCCCCGCCCTCCCCCCTCAGAAATCGTAAGGGGGGCAGGGGCAGGGCTCGCATGTGGCCACCTGGTCTCCTGCACGGACGGGCTGTCAGCAGCTTCACTGCACAGGCACCCCTGAAGCCTATGCATTGGGCGACCTATGCGTTGGGCAACCGACGTGTTCTTCGGGGGGGGGAGGCCTCGTTTGAGCCCCGTGCAGCCCCTCGAGGGGGTGCCGATGCCGCCGGGCGGGCGGCAGTGGGGGGTGGCCCGCCTGGGGGGGGAAGAGAAGGACCCTCAATTTGGACGCCCGAGATGGGCACGGAAAAAATAGGAACAATGCCCAACAACAAATGCTGTCCCAAACCAACAGCGGCCGCTGTTGGGCAGGCGGCCGTCTGTCTCAAATGGACCCAGGCCGCGGCGGCGCAGACAGCGAGTCCTGCTCAACATGAGAAGGAACTGCTGTTGAGCATTGTGCCCATTCTCTCCGTGCCCATCTCGTTCGTGCAGGCTCAAGAGGGTGCCGATGCCGCCGGGCGGGCGGCAGTGCCGGGTGGCCCGCATGGGGGGTGAAGCACGGGGCCCTATGGAGGGGCCCTGTTTCGGCCCCCTGGCCATCGCTCGGACGTCCATTTCCTGTGTTTTTTCGGTTTCGTGCGTGGTTTTTTCGCCACATGATCAAGGATGCTCCTCGATGGTCCTCGCCGAAGGAAACATGCACACGTCCGAGCGATGCCAAGCCCCTGCCGGCTCCAGAGGGGCCCCACAGGGCCCCTCCATAAGGCCCCGTGCTTCACCCCCCATGCGGGCCACCCGGCACTGCCACCCGCCCGACCCTGGGAAAACCGAAAAGGGAGGAGGAGGAGGAGGAGGAGGAGGAGGAGGAGGAGGAGGGGGAGGGGGAGGGGGAGGTGGAGGAGGGGGAGGACCTCGCCCCGGGGGGGCGTTCTGACCAGACTTCGAGGCAAGCCCGGCGGTGGCGACGAGGGCTGCCCAGGAGGCCCAAGATGGGGGAAACGAGAGAAACTTTGCGGTAAGGGTATCGTTTCTTCCTCCCCTGCTCAAGGAAAATCATGACGGGCACTGCTGCGCAGTACCTTTGGACCTGGCAAATGGCACACTACAGACCGCCTCATTTGGCAATACTGAGAGAAAGAAAAAAAGCGAACTGTTCGAAAATCAGTCATGGGCCACTGGTGCCAAAAGTCTTTCGCAGTTCATTCGTGGGCCATTTGTGGATCAGTCGCGGGTCCACTCCCAAAGTGGGCCGCACGTGGGCCACATTCATCGGTGGCCAACTGGCGGAGCCATTCGTGGAACCGTTCGTGAGCCATCAGCGGGGCACCAGCGGGCAGCCCGTTGTGAAGGTGTAGCCCATCAGCGGCGCGACAGAAACCAGCGGGGCAGTCCATGAGCAGCCATGCGGGGCAGCCCTCCCGGGACAAAAAAGGCTCCCAGGAGACCAGGAAGGAGGGCTTCTGAGAGGCCGCCCGCCCGCTCACCGGGCCGTCCCCCGCCTCCTGCGGCGGCCTCTCCCGCGCGCCGCGCACCCCCCCCCATCCCACCACAGGGCCCTATTGACCCGGGTCAGTGCAAAGCCAGGTCAGTCAGACTTTGCAGGATCCTGCAAGATCCTGCCAAATCCTGCGCGCGCGCACTTCTCCCCCACCCCCGCAGGAAACGACATATCCGGGTCGGTGCACACCCGAGCCAGTCAGACCTTGCAGGATCCTGCAACGTCCTGCAGCATGGTCTTCCAACCCGCCTGCGTAACAAACCTGGATCTCGAAAGCGGCCCGATCAGGTCCGTGAGACGCCAGGCTCCTCTCTGCGTCCCAGGAACCCATCGGGCTCCAAGTGCTCTTCCCTGGCAAGGCGCAATGCCCGGGTCAGCGCATCCCTGGCCTCTGCAGGATCCCGTCAGGATCCACCGCCCTGACTGACGACTTGCCCCCGTCTGAATCGGCCCCCGTTTGCATTGGTGCGCGCCGCTGGCCTCCCGAGCGAGTCGGCCGGACCCCGTCGAAGTCCGAGAGCGGCGACGCGCGGTCCTTGGGGGAACAAAGACGTGGACGGGTATAACGTACACGCATAGGCATAAACATATAACATATATATACACATACATACATGCATGCACGTGTGTATGTGAGTATGTATGCATGTATGTGTGTAGGTATGTATGTGTGCACCTGTGTATGTTGTTGTGTATAAGTGCACGTGAGCGTGAGTGTAAGTATGTATTAATGCATGTATGCATGTATGAATGTATGCATGACTGTATGTATGTATATATGTATGGATGTGTACATGCATGTGTGTAGATATATATATATATATACGTAAGTATGTGTATGTGTGTATGTGTATGCATGTGTGTGTCTGTAAGCACGTATGGATGTATGTACATATGCATGTATGCGTGTATGTGTATGCCTGCATGCAGATGTACATGTATGCATGTATGGATGAGGTATGTATGCAACTATGTATGTTTGTATGTATGTATATAGGCGTGCATGTGCGAATGTGTGTATGCATGCTTGCTTGTGTGTATGCATGTGCGTATGTATGCATGTATGCTTGTACGTATGAGTGTGTGCGTGCATGTATGTATGTATGTGTGTATGGTTGAACGAAGGTGTTATCGCGTGTATGTATATACGAGCATGCATACATAAAAGCATGCATGTATGCCTGTATGGATGTATACACGTATGTAGGCATGTATACGCGTATGTGTGTATGTACGGTTATATGTATGTATGTCTGTATGCATTTATGTATGTACGCATGTATGTGTGTACGTACTTACGCGTGAGTGTGGTTATGTATACATGCATGTGATATGTATGCATGCATGCATGCATGGGCGTGAGCATGCATGTGTGCCTGTATGCATGTACGTATGTACGTGGTGGTTGTACACATGTATGTATGCATGTACGAAAGTGTGCGTGTGCATGCATGTGTAGGTATGTAGCTTGTAAGTACGAATGGCTGACTAACTGAACTTATGTGTGTATGTATGCGAGTATCGATGTAAGCATGCATGCATGGTTGTCTGTATGTATCAGTGCATGTATGAATATGCGTGGGTACGCCTGCAACTATGTATGTATGCATGTTATGTGTGGTTGGATGCATGTATGTATGTGTGCATACATGTGTGCATGTGTGCATGTACGTACGTGTGAATGTAAGGGTGTATGTACCATGTATATGTGTTTCCGTGTACGTATGTATGTATGTGCATGCATGTATACATGCATGACTGAATATAAGTGTGTCTGTGAAGGCACGAAGAGATGAATGTATGTGTGTATGTATGCTGATGTATGAATGCGTATACGTATGTATGTAACTGTGTACATCGGTGGGTGTGGACTGATGTATGTATGCACGTATATATGTGTGTGCATGTAAACATGCACGTGTATGCATGTACGTATTTCTACATGCATGCACGCATGCATGTATGTGTTTGTCTATGTACGATGTATATATGTTTGGTTGTACGTGCGTGTATGGATGTACGTGTACATGTATGTATGTGTACATGCATGTATGTGTGTGCGTGTGCACGTACGTATGCATGTACGTACGCGCGTATGTATGTATGTGTGTATGCACGTGTGTCCGTATGTACGTATGTATGTACGCATGTGTGTGCATGTTTCTACGCATGTACCACTTATGTACGTACACATGCCTGTGTATGTCTGTACGTATGCACGTCCGTACGTGTGTATGTGTGCACAGATGATATAATAATGTCGGGGGTGGCTGAAAGTGCTCCTGGCCCAAAGCGCCCCCAGGATCCCCAGGGAGCCCCGCCTCGGCCTCCAGGGAGCACCCCTCACGAGTGCCAGAGGGCCCCAGGGACTCCAACATGGAGCGACAAGCGGGGGGGGGGGGGGGCACGTCCCTGGGCCGAGGGGGCACCCTTGGCGACCCACGCACAGAGGATCGGACAGCGGACATCGAGGATATCGGATGTCTTCGATACCGGAACATGGGATCGAGCGGATATCGGATGTCTTCGACATCGGATCGGGTCGAACGGGTCGAAACAGGCCGTCCTTGGGGAAACCCAGAGGTACCGACACCGCTGGTCCCCGGACCTCGGGCTGCGTCCAGACCGGAACTTCGAGGCCGTGGCGACGAGGGACTCCCAGGAGGCCGAGCAAAGACAAAACCATGGCGAGGGTACTGGTACTCCTTCCTCCCCTGATGAGGCGCAAAGATAGGGGGGAACGGCTCAGGAAAAAGACATCAACCTGGAATCACCGATGCAATATGCATATATACTATAGATCTATGTACATATATAGATATACCAAAAAACAAAAATATCGCTGATTGATCTGCGAGAGGCCCCCGAAAGCGAATCAGCACGGACAAAAAGCTCCAGGGCCCATGTCGGTGATGAATTGGCGATGGTAGAGGAAGAGAAATCAGCTGCTTAAACGTCAACGCTCCATGGTCCGAGCAGATGTCTAGGCTCTTCGCTGGACCCTGGGTCCAGCCCAGATCCAAGAACCCCGCGCGGATCCAAGGCCCAAGTTTATGGTCATGTTCTTTGGTCTTCTTCTCCTTCTTCGAGGTGGGAGGTCGATGCACCCACTCCCTTGATCGGTGGGACGTCAAGATGGGGTGTGGTCACCTCAACGGCTCCACAGCGGCTCCTGGAAGAGGACAGTGTGCGCATCAAGCTCGGTTCGTTCTCTGGGCCCACCCTTAGGATAGCCCCCCACCCCACCCTCTGATTTTGCGTTCGGCAAATATCTGCGACAGAATTGTTGCGTTCCTCAACAACTCAAACTCATGTGGGGACGGACGCGAAAAAATCCCAAGAGGACGAGACCGAGAGGATCTGAGCGCGATGTGTGCGGCAGTAGTGCTGAAAAGAACGTGGAACAGGAGAGACAAGCTGGATACTTAGAGCACATATCCAGAGCAAGCACAGTGTCAGTCAACCCTCTCCACGAAGCCCCACCCCTTAGGCCTGTACCCGCTCCCCAGCGCCGCCCAAGACCCCCGACGTCGTGATTGTTCCACGACGTCGACCCCCAGCGGGCTCGACCTCTTCCCCAGGACCAATTCTTTTTATCCCGAGTCGGTTTCTGACGGTCCCGAGGCCCGGCAAGGACCCTTGGAGGCCGGAAATCGTGAAAAACCTCCCGTCGCGACTTTTCTCACAACGCGAGGGGGTCCCCGGAAGATAGGACCACTTCCCTGAGGCCAGTGGTCCCGAGGGCCAGCGAGGGCACCAAGGGGCTGAACATAGCGAAGAGCCGCAGGTCGCGATGTTTTTCACAACGCGAAGGGGTCTCAAAGGTTCAGACCCTTCCGTGGGGCCGGTACTTCGTCCTGAGCCGTTTGTTGACGGCCCGAGGCCTGGCAAGGGCCCCAAGATACCAAGAACTGTTACAAACAGGCCGCCCATCTTTTTAGAGCGTCGGATCCGTGCCCCCCCCTCCTCCTCCTCCTCCTCCTCCTTCTTCTTCTTGTTTTTCTCATTCTTATTATTCTTATTTTTACTGTTATTATGCTTATTATTAGTATTCCCCTTCTTATTATTATTATGATTATTATTCGTCATCTTCGTCTTCGTCATCTTCTTATTCTTATTCGTCTTCTTCGTCTCCGTCTTCTTCTTATTATTCGTCTTATTATTATCATTATTATTATTATCCTCCTCCTCCTCGTCTTCTTCATATTCTTCTTATTAGTATTATTCCTCCTCCTCCTCATCCTCTTCTTCTTAAACTTAGTCTCATTATTAATATTCTTAATATTCGTCTTCTTATGATTATTAATATTAGTATTATTGGTATTATTCTTATTATTCTTCTCATTCATATTATTATTCTTCTTATTCGTATTATTATTTCTATTATTCGTCTTCTCATTCGTCTTCTGATTAATATGAATAGTATTCGTCTTCTGCGTCTTCTTATTATTATGTTTATTATTCCTCCTCCTGCTTCTCCTCCTCCTCCTCCTCCGCCTCCTCCTCCTCCTCCTCCTCCTCCTCCTCCTCTCCTCCTCCTCCTCTCCTCCGCCTCCCCCCTCCGCCTCCTTCTCCTCCTCCTCCGCCCTCCTCCTCCTCCTCCTCCTCCACTCATCAGCATCAGCATCAGCATCAGCATCAGCATCACCATCCCCCCGAGCCGACCCCCCTGCCCGCGTCCTGACCCGCGCTGACGGCCTCGTCGCCGCCCCAAAGCGCCGCCGCGACGGCCGAGTCAGCTGCCGCGTCAGGCCCCTGCGTACAGGCGCCGGGAGCCCGGCGGGCACCTCGCCGGCGGCGCGCGCGGCGCCAGCGGGGTGCCACGGATGCTGGGAAACGTGGGGGTAGGAAGGCACCAACTATACACCAACACCGATCCTGGCCAGGATCACCCTGGGCCCAGGATCGGTGTATACGCCCTCCTGCCTTGCGCAAGAAGGCATATACACCGATCCTGGGCCCAGGGTGATCCTGGGCCAGGATCGGTGTTGGTGTATAGTTGGTGCCCTCCGATGGGGGGGACAACAGGGTGGCATGCTGCTGCTCCACCGACCTCCCTCAAGGGTGGCTTCCGACCACACCAGACCTTCGAGGAGACTCCCGCCGCGGCAACGGGAGCTCTCCAGAGAGGAACGACACCACTGCATACCTGCACGTTCTCTGAGCTCCGCGCGAATTTCTGGGAGCGGCGCCGCGGAAGCGGCCGCCAGGGGCCGAACGCCGATCCGAGCACTCCGTGGGGGACACCTGAGACCTCATGCCCACGCCGGCTTTCACAGAAGCAGCGCTTGCACTTGGGGGGCTCCTGCCCCTCTCCGAACGAGCTCTCGTCGCCTCCCGGCGCCGTCCGTCGCCAAACAGTGGTGGTCACGAGTTGGAGTGCGCGAGGCTCGCCGCAGGGACTGTGAGCCCGTCCGGCCATCTTGAGGACGCCCGTCGCCGTCGCCCGTCGCCGCACGTGAGAAGGTCACTGCGGTGATTGTGCGAGGCTCGCACTGTGAATGCTGCCACATGAATCTCAGACACGACCTGCCCCCTGAAAAAAATACTACACAATTGCCTCTGCGTCATCGTTCATCTGATACATATATATATAGATGTGTGTGTGTGAATCCATACCGTCCCAAGCCAGTTCCGTGATCGCACTCACCCTTCCTCATCCCTGAAGATCCGCCGTCGCACTTGCAGCGGTTGGTGTGCGCGTCGGCCCCTGCGTTACAGCCACTTCCTGCGAAGCAGCAGCTGGCCCCCCCTCCCGACGAATCCAGCCCAAGACGTTTACCCTTGTTCGAGCCTGCGTGCTTGACGTTGTGGCCAGACAGAGAACGGTCCCAACTACAGAGTTTGGAGAAGGGTTGTCCGAGGCACCTACGCCCTGCTGGCCGCTCGCCCCCTCCCCACCCCTTGCGTTCTCGCCCCCGTGAAATCGGGAGCGGCCAAGAGGGGGGTGCCCAAGAGGGGGGGGTGCAAATCATGACCGGCGGCATGTGCGCGGCCCAGCGGGGGGGCCAGGGACGTAATGAAGTAAGAAGAGGCGCCATGAAATCTGGGGAAATATCATGGCCCTCGCCATGATATCCCCCCCCCCTCTTTTCCGCCCCCGATTGTGTTCTCGCCCCCGATAAAAAACTCCCAGAGAATACTCCCGAAAACGCCTAGGCGCCCCCCGGTGGACTCCAGGACGGCCACTAGCTGCCTCCAGGTCGGACGCCATGGCCTCTGCGGCCTCCACGCGTGGACACCGACATGGCCTCGAAGTCGGCCGCGACGGCCCCAGGGCGGCCCCAAGAGGACACTCAGACGGGCGCCTGCAGGAGGCTAAAGCCCGCCAGCCCTGGTGAGCGCAACTGCTGTGTTTTTTGAAGGCGTTCCGACTTCGGGAGGAAGGGGGGGGGGGAGGAGCGGGGGGTCTGCCTCCAGACCTCTGCTTAATGCGACTGCTTGTCAGAGTGCTGCCTCTGGGACAGACTCCACCCGCTCGAAACAGGCGCCCCAAAACAGCCAAGATCTACTCTATGGGGGGGGAGGGGGGGGTGCGAGGGCCCGCGCCGATCGGCAAAACAACGAATAAAACAACAACCACCTGTAGGGCGTGTCGTGAATGGTTTTGGGCGTTTCCCCTTCCAACTCCCCTTCTTCCCCTTCGGGGGAAAGGTGTATCCCTCCATCCTCCCCCCCTCCCCTCTGGACATGGACGCGGGGGGGGGCGCGGGTCGTTAGAACGTCCTGAAAATTGCCTCGGCGAGGAAGCCAATGTGATTGGATATTTAAGCGTTGCTCGTTTTTGCCACATGTTGGGATGCTGGGGGGGGCCTAATAGGATCCCACCCTTCCTCGAGCGATCTCCTCCAAAATTGCAACAATATTGCCCTTGAAACACCCAAGGGCGCCCCAAGACGGCCCCGAGATGCGCCCACACGGACCCAAGAGGCACCCAAGAAGGCACCCAATGACGCCCCAAGAGGCCCCCCGGCGAGAACGCCAACATCAGCGATTGTACTAAGTTGTTGGCCACATGTTGGCCAGCTGGGGCTGGGGGCTAATTCAATACATGTCCTCCAAGATGGCCCCCTCTCTCAGGGAACCCACATGAGGCTCCAAGAGCTCCCCCCCAGAGGCAACTACGACGGCCCAGCAGACCTCGGCGAGATGGCCGGCATCAGTGACTGCAATCAGGTTCTCCTCCTGTTCCTCCTACTCCTCCTCTGAACGGCGGCGCGCACAAGTCGTCAGGGGGAAGGCAGGAAGGAGTCTTAGAAGGAGGCTGCTTCTGAGGAGGCGCTGGCCCCGCATCTGCAGACGAGGCCCGCGCCTGCTGAGAAGCAGGGGTGCTTCCAGGGAGCCCTCCCCCTCCCCCTGCATACCCCTCTGCGCGGGGCCGCCCCCCTGGAGCTCTGGATTGAGCAGGGACCGACTGTCCCGGCATTCCTATAGTCATACCACGAGATGTTCCTAGAATCCAAACATGCTGTCAGAACGAAAGCAATGTCCTTAGAACATGCACCCGATGAAGACAGTCCCACCCATACATGTTCTAAGAACATTTCGTGGAAACCACACAAGTCAACGGGCGAAGAACGGTATAAGATAAACTTTTTCGCCGTCGGGGACACCTGCCCCAGGGCGGCTGAAAAGTTTACACCCTTACGGTGGCACCATAGGGGTATAAACTTTCCAGCCGCCCAGGGGCAGGTGTCCCCGACGGCGAAAAAGTCTATGTTATACCGTTCTTCGCCCGTTAAACAAGGTGCTTAGAACATCGCTGGGTGGGGCTGTAGGCGAGCCAGGACGCTCCGCCGCTGCTTGACCGGAGCCGCGCGCCGCCGGCCTCGGCCAGCGCGGGGTCCGAGGCCAGGTGGATCTGCGCCTCGCCGCCCGCCAGCGGCCGGCCAGGCTCCGGCGCCGCCTCGGCGTCGGCCTCCCCGGAGGCGGGGCCGGCGGCGGGCGCCCCGCTGGCGCTGGGCGCCTCGTCCTCCCGCCGTGGAGGAGGCCAAGGGCAACGAGGGGGAGGTCCCCCCTCCCTCCTCCTCCTCCTCCTCCTCCTCCTCCTCCTCCTCCTCCTCCTCCTCCTCCTCCCCTTGCCCCTCCCCCCCCCTCCTCCCCCTCGTCCCCCTCCTCCTGAGGGAGAGGGGGCCCGAGGCTGCCTCTTGGAGGGCGCCGGCCCCACATCTGCAGGGAGGGCCCGCGCCCGGGCAGCAGCACGTTTTTCTGGCAAGGCTCCCCCCGCCCCGGGCGCCCCCGTCTGCCCGTGGCCGAGAGACGGCGGGCATCGAGGGGGAGGGGGGGGGATGGCACGACGGGTGACACATCCACCTGGAATCGGTGATACATCGCCGGTGGACTTAGGTCGGGCCTGTCCTCCTAGAGGGGGATTGTGGACGAAGAACTGAAAATTGCCCAAGAAATATTCAAACAAAAACTCAAAAACACTCCAAACATCGAGTACCATGTTTTGAGTAAGCTTGAATGCTCCTCCAGTAGAGGGACAGGACCGACTTACGATCAGTGCAACGGACCCAGGCCCCCATCGAGCTCATCACAAACACTTCTGGCTGGCCACCCGTGCCGCACCGTGACCCAGTGGGGCCTGCACCCACGGATCAGGGAAACGGCCCCGGGCCCCCATCGAGCACACCACGATGCGTTTCCATCGGTCCCAGGGGCCGCTCCGATCATCACGCTGCCCATGACTTTCGCGCCACTCTGCGCATGGATTGGCAGGACGGGTGCGCGAAACGGACTTACTAGCCTGGAACATATCCCTGTCCCTATGCTGGGCACCTCCTCATCACGATGCCTATCTTAGGGATTCCCTCATCTTTTAAGGGCGGATCCCGATTGTCATCGTCTTTTGGCGTGTCAATCTTAGGGATAGGGATACGTTCGAGGCTGGTGATGGCTGGGCGGGTGGGTGAGGGCACGGAGGCGGGGGGGGGCGGGGCAGGGGGCCCACGTCCCTGGGCAAGCGTCCGCGGCCCTGCCAAAGCCTCGCGCATGCAACACTGCGGCGGGGCTTCCGCGCAGCCCCCCCCGCCAGGCTGGATTCCTGGCGGCCATTGGCAGGATCAGCCCGGATACCCTCGGAGCGCAAGCAGCGTGGTGGAACTGCCCGCAGTCGGTGAAACACTGCGAGCCCGCCCCATGGACGAGACCGATGCACTGTACTCTGCGTTGTAACACTGACAAGCCCGACGTACGCATTTAAAACATAGTTCGTGAAATGAATCGACAACGGGATCTGTCGCACCTGCCTCAATCCATGTTCCCATTTCCCCGACCATGGGCGAAGTGTGGGCGTTTGGGGGTCGATGCATCCCCCCCATGGGCCCATCCCCCGCTATCGTTCCTCTCGCGTCCTGAGAGAATAAGGGCAGAAACGGTATTTATGAAAGGCCGGCCCTGGGGAATAGGTCGAGACATTTGGGGGTCCAAGGCGTGAAAACATCGTGTCGCCGAGGACTCAAAAGGAAGAGAAGGTACCTGTACCCCTACCCATGCCTCGTGCTCGTCTTTGCGGGCATCCTGGGAGGCCCTCGTCGCCACGGCTGGACTCGCCTCGTAATGCAGCTCAGGACGCACCCCGGGAGAGGTCCTGGGAAGGTGCGGCATGGATACCTCCAGGTTTGCCCTCGGACGGCCCGTTTCGATCCAGTCGACCCGATCCGAGATCCGAGATCCCACGTTTTTAAAGCGTCCGACGTCCGCTCGCTGCGATGTCCTCGATCTCCGAGGCTCGATCCCATCTGCGGGGGCGCGCTCGCTCGGCTGGTCGGACACAGGCGCTGGC